TCCTTCCTTCCTTCCTTCCTTCCTTCCTTCCTTCCTTCCTTCCTTCCCTCCTTCCCTCCTCTCTTTCTCCCTTTTCTATGTGTTAGACCTGCTCCTGGCATCCCCAGACACCCGTTAGCTTTGGTGGTGTCACTCAGGGCTAACCACACCGAATTTGGTTTCTGTCTCAGACAGTGGGACCCACTTGCCTTGCCTCAGGGAAGAGATGGATACTCACTGAGAAGAAGGCCCTCATCGGGGCAGCTGAGGCACTCATCTTCAGCAGGTCCTGTGCAATGAAAGCATTTCATGTGACAAGGTTTACAGTTCTGGGTCTTCTCATCCTTGTACTCAGAAGGGCTGCAGTCCTTGTGAGTCACACAGGATCCCAGCCACGTCATTGCTGTGCCTTCTTTACAAGAAGAACACATCCAAGAAGAAGAACAAGTCTTACAGGTCTCGTGGCAACCTGCAGCGGGACAGAAGGCAAACCTTGAACTTCATCGCTTATGACAACATCTAAGAAATTCTTATCTAGTGCAACGGGAAGATGACTGACTTTTGAGTCAGAGGCCCTGACTCAGATTCTACCTTTCTCACTACCTTGTCCTGGGACAACTCGCTTAACTTCTCTTGGCCTCAGTTTCCTCATCTTTAAAATGGGGGATTGGACTAGATGATTTCAAAGATTCCACGCAGCTCTAAATCTGCTATCTTTTCATCCATTCTACTACCATATTCCCTAAAAAGATGCTGCAGCCCAATTCCAAGAGGGTGAGACCAGTTATCCAGCTTAGGCCGGGACATTTCTGGCCAAGGTCTAAGGCTCTAGAGTAGAGTGTTAAGTCCCCGGGACAAAAGGGGAAAAAAATGTCTTTGCTGTTACTTTCATTGTCGTCACCCAAGGACTCTTCCCAGGACAAGAGTCTTAGAAATATGGCCTTTCTCCAGGCAGTTTTGATGAAATGGAAAGAAACCTGGCCCCTAACTCAGGGAGCTGGATCATCTCCATTTTGGCTCTGCCACTAACTACCTGAGTGACTTTGATCAAGTCTCTGAGCATCATTTTTCTTGTCTGTAAAATGGGCATAATACTGCCTGTGTAACCTACCTTACAGAGCTGTTGTGATCATTTGTGCTTTGTAAATGTTGAAGCACCACCTACACATTGCTTATTATTATTACCAATTTGATCAATAGTAAAGTATTGTCGTCTCAGGTCTAATCATTGTGATTCCAAACAAAATTATTTTACCATGGGTAGGGGAAGGTTTGGACAGATAGGTGATGGAATGGATAGAGCATCAGACCTGGAGTCAGGAAGACTCATTTTCCTGAGTTCAAATCCAGCCTTATATATTTACTAGCTGTATGACCCTGGGCAAGTCATTTTACCCTGTTTGCCTCAGTTTCCTTATCTGTAAAATGAACTGGAGGGGGAAATGGCAAATCACTCCAGTATCTTTGCCAAGAAAACCCCTCATGAAGATCCTGACATGACTGAAAATGACTGATCAATAATGGGGGAATATTCATGAAGATATGAGCTACAAATTAGTCCACAGTAATTATCAAAGAAAGTAGATGTAGAACCCAGGTTTGCTCATCTTAGAGGCCAAGTCTTCTTCAGGTAACTTGCTTTTGTATTTAGTCACCTTCACATTGGAAGGAAGTATGGTCCAGCAGAATTTGGTGCACGTGAAGTCAGATGACCTGGACCCAGCTCTATCAATTATTACTTGTGTGATGAAAAGTAAGCAGGCAAGCAATAAACATTTATTAATCACTTGCTGTATTGCAGGCATTGTGCCAAGGGTTAGAGATGCAAAAACAAGCAAAAAGAAAGCTAGTTTCTGCTCAAGAAGAGCTTACATTCTAACGTGTGTTTATGTGTGTGTGTGTGTGTGTGTGTAGCCATATATAAAATGGCAGAAAGACCTGAGTTCACATCTGGCTTCCAGAGGTTCCCAAACTTTTTTGGCCTACTGCCCCCCTTAAAAAGAATTTCTCAGCGTCCCCCTGAATATCTACTTTCTTTAACACTTTAACATTTTTTTTGTTTGTTTTTTTTGAAATTTGCATCATTTAAAAAAATACCACCCCCCAGATTGTTCTAGCACCCCCTAGGGGGCAATATTGGCCTCAGACACTTATAAGCTGTGTGAGCCTGGTCAAGTTGCTTAACCTCTTCCTGTCTCAGTTTTTTCAGCTGTAAAATGCAGAAATATTATAATCCCTACCTCCCAAGGTTGTGGAGGGGAACAAATGAGATAATATTTGTAAAGTGATTAGCACAGTGCCTGATACATAGTAGGTGCTTAATAAATGTTTCCTTTCTTTGTCCTTCTCTTCCTTCCTCCCTCCTTCCCTCCCTCCTTTCCTTCCTTCCTTCCTCCCTCCCTCCCTTCCTCCCTTTCTTCCTTCCTTCCTTTCTCCCTCCCTGCCTCTCTTCCTTCCTTCCTCCCTCCCTCCCTCCCTGCCTCTCTTCCCTCCCTGCCTCTCTTCCTTCCTTCCTTCCTTGCTTCCTTCCTTCCTTCCTTCCCTTCTCCTTTGTAGGTTTGAAGTTTAGAAGAAGTCACTTTTGGTAAAAGTAATGATAATAATATCAATAATCTCCTCGTGGCCACACTTCCTGCAAAGAACCTCTCTGAGCTTAGTGAGGTTAGTTCTCATGGAGACAATCTCTGCTTCCATACTTAGGGGCTTTCTAGGTTAGTAGGACAAACCAAAGTTTAGCAATTACATATTTTATAATAGCTATTGCTTCTCTGGGCCTCAGTTTCCTTTGTAAAATGAGAGGATTTGGTTAGATGATTTCTTAGGTCTTTTCCAATTCAAATTCTATGATTCTTAGGAATTATAAAATCAAACCTCTAGAGCAGGAAAGGACTCCAGTGGTCAACTTGTCTAATTCCCTCATTTTACAGATGAGGAAACTGAGGTCTAGGGAGGTGAAACAAGTTGCCTGAGGTTACATTGATCACAAGAGATAGAGTCTGGATTGAACCCAAATTTTTGATTCCAAATCCAGTGCTCTTGCCTCGGATAGGTGCTGTTTTCACGAAATAGGGCAAGGAAGTAGGAAAGAACCTATTTCTTCTTCTGCCAGCAAAATTGGGATGGTGGGCACTTTGCCTATCACTTAGTGTCTTTTCCATATTTTGGTAAGGCTTTAGAGGGGCACTTTGGTAGAGTTCCACCTGAAATGGCAGTAGCATCCTTCCCACAGATAGTTTAAGGGTGTTGTATGCCGTGGAGCCCACTCATACAAGTGAAAAGGCTGTGGGGGTGTGTGTGTGCAAAGCCAAAGAAGTCTACTAACTATTTAGGGCTCATGATGCTCTGCTCGGTTGCTACACAGCCAGAAGATATTTGTCATAGGTAGAGTATCAACCAGAGGATCCCTACTCTCCAAATTCCTTTCTGTTTTGCAGAATGTCTGAGGTTCCTATACCAGGACACCAAATCTTATTCCATAATTAGAGATTAGATTTTTTTTTCTTTTCTTTTTTTCTTGGTGAGGCAATGGAGTGAAGTGGCTTGCCCAGAGTCACACAGCTAGTGAGTGTCATGTATCTGAGGCCAGATTTGAACTCAGGTCCTCCTGGTTCCAGGGCCGGTGCTCTATCCACTGTGCCCCTAGAGATTAGATTTTAAATGCTACAGCCCAGGAAGAGGTAATACCTAGAATTAAATTCACTCTGGTGTATAAATGACTGATTTCAGACCTTTTCCTGAGAGTAGGAGAGGTCACAGGATTATAAATCTAGATTTAGAAGTCATCTAATCCAACACCCTTCATTTTCCACGTGAGAAAACTGAAGCCTAGAGAGGTTGGTTTTTTTGCTCAAGGTCACACAGATAGTAAGTGACAGAACTGGGATTTGAACTTAGGTCTTGTGACTCCAAATTCAATGTCCTTTCCACTGAGGGAAGGGAATAAGAATTTTTATAGTGCCGAGTATGTGCCAGGCACTATGCTATGTGTATGAGGCTAAATTTGAACTCAAGTCTTCCTAACCCTAGGCCCAGCACCCTGTCCAGGGTACCACCTAGCTGTACAGGGAATAAAAAGCAGGGGAAGACTAAGTACCTGCAAGGAGTAGATTTAGGAGGCATCATGGGAAAAAGGCTTAAAAAGGGAGACTGATGGCACTGAAAACAAACTTGATCACCTCTATAACACTGCCTAGAACCAGCCAAATTTAATGTCAAGGACATATGTTTCATGGGTGGGCAAATTCCCCCCACTAAGCTCATTCTGACCCATCTATAACTTACAGTCTTAGAGAGCTAACGTAGTCGAAAAGGCTGCTTTCCACTCTTCTCTCCCTCAACACACCACCAAGTACAATGCATCATACTCCCCTGTAGGCTTTACCTTTGCAGTCTCTGGAAGCCTTTTCATAGTAAGTCCCATCTGGGCATGCAGCCAGACACCATCCATTATGGAGGACCAAGGAATCAGGGCAGACTGTGCAGTCATCATCATCAGGACCATTGCACTCCTTACAGCTCCCACTGCAAGGGTGACACTTGTAGAAGTCTTCATAGAAGCCAGGGGGGCAGTCCCGAAGGCACATTTCATCATGCAAGAAGAAAGGAGGCATGCATTCTAAATCACAAAAGAGAACAACAGGTTACCCCCCTTAAGAAATAGGGAATACATTAACTTTCCAGAGACATGTCCTTTCTCCCTAATAGGGCATAAGCTCCATGAAGGCAAGACCACATTTTTCCCCCCTTTGTATCCCCAGTCCTTAGCATAGTGTTTGGCACATAGCAGGCACTTAATACATATTTCTTGAATTGAATTTCACGGTATACCTTGGGAACCTTGAATAATAAAATATTAACTCAATAGCTGGGGATCTTCTAGACAGGATCAAAGTGCTTCACTCTAGACACACACAATTGGTTTTTTTAAAATTCTGTATCAGGGAAGGAACAACCTGTTTTAGAAATCTAATCCTGTATCAAACCCCTCACAGTCCGGATGTGATTCTGTTTGTCTGATATAAACAGAGTCCATATTTTGCCTTGGCTTGATTCCAGGCTGACAAAATAAAGTAGTCCTTAGCTTTCTACTCAGTAGCCTTCTTCCGCTGATTGATATACACTGAAATAGCCAACTCTGTTCACTCATCATTGGGAAACTGAGACCCACAGCTCTTTCTGGATACATGAATCTGCTGTTCCCTTGCCCCTCTTTAAGTGGAGGGCCAGAGGGTCAACTTCTCCCTCCATCTCTCCAACTTACCTTTACATGTTTTCTCATGTATGCACTTTTGACACATCTCTGGACAACGTCTGCACATCCCGTCCACGGCAACGTGCCTCTCAGGGCAGGATTTCTGGCACACGCCCTGGGCCAAGACCAGGTCCTTTTCACATGAGCGGCAGTTGGTGGCATTTCCTTCACATGTTTTACAAACTAAGTCACAGGGTTTGCAAGTGCCATTTTCTGCATAAAACCCCCTACAAACGGAAGAAAAGAAGCTGATGAGTTTGGGGATTTTACCCATGCTTCGTGCCATGTGGGAGTAGAGATATTTCAGTACTTCAAAAAATCCATATTTTTGCCAGAATATGGGCTCTCACTATGCTGATGTAAATGACAACCCTTTCATAATTTGGTAGAGAGCATTAGCTGGCAGTTTTTGTATCTAGGGTAAATGTGTCCATGAATGCTATTGAGGAGGTGGGGCTGGTGAGGCAGCGGCTCAGGTAGAGCCTGCCTTGGGCTGAAGCCATCAGTTTTCCATCTGCTAACTTTCAAACCCTTCCCATTTTTTGGGGTCTAAACCTGTGATGTTATTGGTGTAGGAAAATCCCTTTACCAATGCAGATCTACAACTCTTCTGTGACTTGTAGAGACTTTTCTGGGGGCACTCAGAGGTTAAGAGACTTACTCAACATCATGTATTAAGTAAATGTCAGAGACAGGATTTGAACCTTCCTTACTCCTAGGCCTGCTCTGCATTCATTATGCCATGCAGATAGCTTCCTATTTTCACTATTTATTCTTGCTAACCAGATGCTAAACTGTAATGCTGAGGTTGTCAGGGGTCTCTAAGTTTCAGTTGTCTTCCTGGGACACAGTCTTTTCTGCCCTGGTTCCTGCTCTGCTTTAGTAGATGGTTTAATGAGTTACTGTGCCCAGAACAATCCATCACCCTGGGCCAATCCATCTGGCGATAACCCTCTCCAAACATGTAGTCTTTCACTGGGGCCACACTTGAAATCTGTCTTGCTTGGAAGAATCCACCAGAACTCACATTCAATTAGCAGAACCTTCCCTCCATAATGACACAATAGAGTAGGACTACAGTGTAAGTATGGTAAATATAATTAGTACTAAAAATGGAAAAAACATATACTAAAAATCAAAATGATAGTAAATATTTGATAGAATATAAAAATTCCTTGAGAGAAGAGAGCTATTTCCTTTTTTATCTTACCTTTATCTTTTATATGTCTGGTGCCCAGCACAGTGCCAGACACATCATTAGTAAACTCTTTTAATCAATAATTATTAACAATTAATATTTTAGCATTAATAATACTTAATTATTAATAAAATCATTAACAAACACTTGCCGATCAATTAAATATTTAAAACATAGTGTACTGAAAAGGACAGATGTAGCAAGTAGAACAAAGACCAAATTTTTTTTTATAACCAGATTTAATTTCTTGGAAGATAAGTGGTGTTTATTTGTATCTATAATGTATACTTCCTCTTCCAACTCCTTTTTCCTCCTCTTTGGTATCACCTTCATTTAGTGTAATTAAATAATGTATCAAAATAAAAATTTCATACACAAATAACTTGGCCTCATATATGGTTAATGTGTTAGAAAGTGGGAATCTTTCTCTCAGTCCTACCCATGCATTTCTTTTCAAAAAAATTCAGTCTACCGTTTAATTTTCTTCTATAATTAGAGGATCATAAATTCAGAGCTAGAAGGGATTTAGAGCCCATCTAATCTAACTCCCTCATTTTACATATGAGGAAATAGGCCCAGAGAAATTATGAGACACAGTTCTCGACTCTGCACCTACCGCTCCTCCTAGCTTCAACTTTATGAACCAAGTTTACTTCTTCCAAGTTAAGCTCATCCCCTCTAATCTCATCAATGCTGCAGACTCAACCCTTGATTGATACCACCTCCCTTGGCCTCTTCTTCCTTCAGATTGGAGGGCTTGGCAAATTCCTCCCAATGCTTTCTTTTATAGAAGGCTGAAACTGAATGGTTCCCCCCTTCTTTTCCTGCCTCCTTTTATGCATTATTTCCCCCTCCGTAAGCTTCTTGATGGGAACAACTATCTTTTTATTAATTGTGTCCCTAGTGCTTAGGGACAGCTAGGTGGCACAGTGGATAGAGTGCCAGGTCTGAGTTAGGAAGACTCATCTTCCTGAGTTCAAATCCAGCCTCAGACTCTTAGTAGCTGGTTGTCTTGAGGCCATGGTTGTCCATGGGTCATCATCCTTGGGTCTTGCCACTGTGGCCCCCTTCCCATGGCCCATCTTTCCCCGGCCTATTCAGGCATGAAGAAAAGGCTTTCTTGGATCAAGCAGTCGCCCCTCCCAGCACAGCTGCACTCACGTCCTCTGAACTGCTACCTCCCCCCATCAACTGATTCTTACTTTGGTGAAAATATTCCTAGTCACAGTTCAGGAAGAAACTCTTTCTTACAGATGAAACTGGATGAACAAAGCCATTGCTAAACTGTGGAGCCAAGTTGGCCTTCTCTAATTGAATTTAACATTATAATATAAAACATAGGACAGCAAATATATTGGTGCCAGTTTTTGTAGGGCCCTCGAGCTAAGAATGGTTTCTACATTTAGCTCTCAGGCTTACAAAAGCTGGTTGGGGCTGATTTGCATAAAAAGCAAATAAGGAAATGAGCCAGAGGGAAACAGACAAGCAGGACAGCTTCGAAAGTTACACGTTGAATTTATTACAAACTTTAAAAGAAATGCAAGGTTCATGTAATAGTGATTCACAGTTTTATGGACAGTTCTCTCATATTCTGCAAATATGTGGAAATGATTGTTTAGCTTGGTGTTGGTGAAGTTTAGAATACATTTTTTAATTAAAAATATTATATATTATGTAATTTTGTTGTTATTTTTGTTATTGAGTCATTTCAGTCACATCTGCGTATAAGTCACTGTGCATGACTCTAATTATAAAAAGACAAAATGAAATAAGCCCTTGTTCTCAAGTAACCTACATTTTACTAATCACCCATGTTGTTGTTCAGTTGGGTCTGACTATTTGTGATCCCATTTGGGATTTTCTTGGCAAAGATACTGGAATGGTTTGCCATTTCCTTTTCCAGTCCATTTTACAGATGAGGAAGCTGAGGCAAACAGGGTGAAGTGACTTGCCCAGGGTCCAAAGCTAGTAAGTGTCTGAAGCTGGTTTTGAACTTAGTTCTTCCTGACTTCGGGCCTGGCACCCTATCCACTGCACCACCTAGCTGCCCCCCAAATATTTTCTATTAAGGTATTCGAGTCTTTATTCCAGAGTCATTTTATTTAGCTTCAGATTTGCTATATGTGTTATCCATTTTTTCAGTCAGTTACAGCCCATTGGACCTTAGTTTGAATTCTCAAGGTACCAGATTGCTTTTATAATAGATTGGCTTTATGCAAACCAGTAAGGATTATTATCCATCTAATCAGATTGTTTTTGAAAGATAAGCTTCATCTTGCCCTCAGGTGACGGCAGTTCCTGAAGAGTGAGGTCAGAGCAGCCTTATTTCTGGAAGAACAGGGTGGAGATGGAAAAGGGGAGGATGAGGCCTCAATCTAAGATGAAGAAATCATAGTCAGGGCAAGCCATAGATCTCAGCAAGGGAGGACAGGAAGGGAGCTGGAACAAGAGATCTGGCTGATTCTGGAAGAAACTGCAGGGAAAAGTGTGTGTTCTTGCCAAAATCCTGTTTGTGATCACAGCTAATTCAAAGATAAAGCATCATCAACTCAAGTTGAGGAAGGAACCCACCCAGAAAGTAAGGTCAGGAGAGTGTTGTTCATAATGGCATTGGGCTAAAGGAAGCACTTACACATAACACTCCTTCTATCTTTTACTTGAGTCTAAGGAATTTACTTTCTTTTCTCCAAAGGGAAATAGGTTATAAAAACAAAAGACAATAATCTATTTACAGCCAATTTCCCCCACATGGGGAAAAAGGAATTATAATTTGGTCCCTGCCTATTTTCTTAAGTTCAAACCAATTTTGCAAAATTGGGAGCTATGCTTTAAACAAATAATCTAATCCTCAACTTCAAGCTATTAGATGAACACCCAAACCATGGCTGCCATGATTTAGGGGAGAAAATAGTTTTCTCTAGTGGAAAGATGGGTTAAAAGCAGTAAGGAACAAAGCTAATATGTAAACCACCCACAAGCTTCTGTTTCCATCTCATCCCAGAATTTGCAGGGTCATCAAACTATTTTGTCCTCTTTCACATGGCTCTGGAAGGACAGCAAGTATAGTTGGTTACTCCAAAGACCACTGGGCATTCATTGTTTGGGTGTGTAATTACCTCACGGGGTTGTTCTGACTCTGATCTTGGAAACAAGAAAGGATGCTGGGAAAGGTAGATGGCACAGTGGACAGAGTATTGGGCTCAGAATTAGCAAGATCTAAGTTCAAACCTTGCCTCGAATACTCACTAGGTACAGGTCCTTGGCTAAGTCATACAACCTCTCTCATCCTCATTTTCCTCATTAGTAAAATGAGGGGGTTGGAATTTATGGCCTCTAAAGTCTCTTGCAGCTCAAAATCTATGATCCTATAATTGAATGAGGGAAATACAAAAAAGTATCTTAAAAAAATGAAGAAATTCCAAGTTAGAAGGGACCACAGAAGCCATCTTAACCCAACCTGACAAAGAGTCCCATGGATAACAACCCCAAAAAGTCTTCATCCAACCTTTGTTTAAAGTCACCAAGTGAGGAAGGACCACTATTTTCTGAGATTAGTTCCAGTTGTTATCAGCCAAAATCTTCCTTTCTCTGTAACTACTGACCATAACTCTCAGTTCAGCCCTTTGGGGCCAAGTAGAATTAGTCTTATATCTCTTCCACCAACAACCCTTCCAGCAATTTTGCAGTAGATAGAACACCAGACCAGGAGTCAAGAAGACCTGAGTTCAAATGAGGCCTCAGACACTATCACTAGCTGTATGACTTTAAGCAAGCCACTTCATCCTGTTTGCCCCAGTTTCCTCATCTGTAAAATGAACTGGAGAAGGAAATCACAAACCACTCCAGTGTCTTTGCCAAAAAAAAAAAAACCAAACCCAAATGGGATCACAAAGAGTCAGACACCACTGAACAACATTTTATCTCTCCCTACCTCCCTACTCAAGTCTTCTCTTATCCAAGCTGATCACCTCTAGTTCTTCAATGAATTCTTCCAAGGTATGATCTCAAGGACGTGCATGATCCTAATTA